GGGAAAGAGTTTACACAGGGAATTTCAGCTTATTGGTGGTGGTGCTTTCTGAGGGCAACATGTCCTCGATCTCTCCACTGTAAAGATCAGCGATAATTTACAGGCAGATCCAGTCTGCAAGTCCTAGAAGGTGTCTGGACTTCTCCAAGGTGGTGCATGTGTCATGGAAGTACCTCTGCTCATGATGGGACAAGCGTCTATTTTGTTGGGCTGTATTTTGTGTGGCTGTTTGGGTTGCCTCCCTGGTACATCTCTTGGGCTTACAGCAAGTTGGCAGTTAAAGCTCCTGATCTTAAAAGCACAGATATCTAGAAAAAACTCTGTTAGCAGATGTTTCTGGTAGGCAGGGACATGAGGATGCTAGCAGGCTGAGGGTCTGGAGGAGTGTGGCTGATGTACAGCAGGATGGGAGGCTCAGGACAGTCTGCAAGATAGGTCTGCCCTGTGAAACAGGAAGCATAGCTGGCCAGGGAATGGCATTCCAGAGGAAAATCTAGGTCCTGGGCTTTGTTTTGCTTGCTGGGAAGATGGAGTGGCTTGCTTCTGTTGGTTTTCCATGCTCTTCACTGCAACCTTGCAATATTTTGCTTTTTAAACAGCAATGCATTGTATTTCAGAGAGGTAGTGTATTTGTTAAGATGCCTATTTGCTTTGGAAGTCTTCACTTATGGGAGGCAGCAGACCAGAAGATCTGGCAGTCAAAGAGGCAACCTGACACTGCTCCTATATGTGTGTCTGTGCTTCTCATTGCTGGATGGGCTCCTCACAGAGATCCTGCTGGCATCACTTCTTCCCCTTTACCTTCTGGCACCTGAGTTGGATCATAGTGAATAATTTTTCTGCTCCTGGAGAAACCCTCAGTTACGAATACAGTTGCTAAAGAATCCAGTAAGTGACTGGCAGAAGCTCTTTACTTTCTTTATTGCCTTTTATCTGGATTCTGACTTTTTTCCTGGAATTTTAGGAGGAGGGCAGCTAGCATTTCTTTTGTGTAGTTATGCAGCACAGATGTGTATGCATTTAATGTATATATTCTGTGGGTTTTGGTATTCCAATTCAAATACCTGTTTGATTTAATGTTAAGAGGTAACTGATTGCTTTATCAAATGGAAAACAATTGCTGATTTTTCTGGGTAGTTTTCAACACTGTTGAGAAATTAATGGCAGTTTTAGAATCTATGAAGGGCAAAGAAATGGTATTCTCTGATTCAAAGAACTAATTAGAAGTAAATGCCTGTGGGTATTGGGTTGTGTCCCCCCCCCCCCTACATTTTGGGAGAATTAGAGGAAAATTTAATAATTGCTTTCAATTTTACAGGCAGCCAGCATCAAGCGTGAAATGACCTTCCCTGCATTTCAACAGGAGGATGTAAAATGTGACGTCAGTCAAAAACTGCCAGACCAACAGTTTCTCCTGTTCACCACAAAGGAGGAAGATTTAAAAACAGCAGAGACCAAAAAACCAAACAGAGCTCATGAGTATGAGAAGGAAAACACTCGTTCTGTTTGTCTTCTGGAACAGAAGCGCAAGGTTGTTTCTTCAAGTATTGATGTGCCTCCAGCAAGGTAAGGAGAGTTGGGGTTGTTTTCTGTTTTGTTTAATCTTTTTTTTCTTCTTGCCTTTTTTATGTTTTATGTTTAATGGGATGTTAGAGGTAAGTTTTGTAAGCAGTAATGTGAACTGATAGGACTTACTGTTTGTGTCCAAGCAGTCCAAAGTCAATCACAACTTCACTGTTTGAATGATCTGCTAGAAAACTGAAAGCAGTAGTAGCAGAAACTGAGACCATCTGCAGTGTAGGACTTTGTATTGCTTTTGCAATGTTTTTTCCTTTAGAATGTGCTGCAGCTGAGGTACTCTGAGAAGAGGACATGTCTTAACAGGAAGAGATTGTTAACCCAGCTTCAACCCAAGAAGTACTCTTCAAAATTAGACACAGAATAATCTTTCCTGATACCATTTTTTTCATTATTATTTTTTACTATCACATCTGCAACCACTTTATACTCATGGGTGTGACTTACACTTCATAGTGGGAATGTAGTATCTTAAGTTCCGTTATATCCTGAGATAGGTACAGAGGTGGGTCGTAATCTTGATAATCTTCAGAATCTTGCACTTTGGGCAAGGACTTCACTGCTTTGAGAGAGAAAAGGAATGACTCCTTTAGGAAATGCTGAACATGGTATAAAGAAAACCATAACCAGTAATGCTAAACAGACTCACTTCTATTCACGGTGGGAAAAATGACAACAAATTGGGTATTCTATGTTGCAAGATAACGTGCTGTTTCTTTTTGTTGTTCATGGTTTGGTGTGGACATCAGTCTATCTGCAAAGATTATTTTTTTTTCCTTAACCTGTCTGGTAAATTCACTTGCACATAGTATTCAATAAAACACCTTCTGAGTTTATATTGCCACTTAAAAAATACATAATAAAACTGAATGCTTTGTTGTTTTTTGGTTTGCTTGCTATCTAAAACCCAGCATAAACCAGCAGGTTCGTCCACATCACCCGGAACAGGATGACTGTCATTTTCCTCTTGCTCTCATAGATGACACTTGTGAAAACCACAAAGTTCATGAACATTTTGACATGATACCCGCCCCTCCGCCCCCGCCATCTACATTTATTAAAAAGCTATGCATTAAAAACTTGAAAATGTTAGGATATGCCCTTGAGATTTTCACCAGTAATTAACCCTGTAATGGCTGAGTGCCTTTCACATTCATACTTACGTGTCTCTAAGCAAGTAGGAACATCAGAAAATTCAGGTTAGCAGGGACCTCGGGAAGACACCTAATCCAACTTCCTGCTCAAACCATGTGTTAGCATTTCCATTTTACAATTCAGGTGGCTGAAGTATGGGATTTAAGTGCCTTTTTGTGTTGCTTCATGTAGATAATCCACTTGAAGAAGTGGTTGATCTCCCCTTACCTGTAACTTCAAGATCATCCTTCCTTGGAGGGATGGATATTTTTTCCCAAACAAGGTGGAAAATAGGATGAATAAACATCTTTAATGCCTTTTAAGACTAATTGTGGCACCAGTTGTGAGCACAGGATGCCTAAGATGGTAGGAAATAACTTAATTTCACATGTAAAGTTGTCTTCTAAAATTGTTCTTTGTTTCCATATTTTGTTTGGAACAGAAAAAAGAACATATTATGGTGTTGCATATTTTCAGACATAAAGGTTGAGCTGCTGCGTTAGCAGAATTAGAGAATGAAGTAGAAAACAAACCTGGAGTCTAGATTGAATAGCATGATAAACATCTCTGTCACTCTTGCCACAGTTTTGCAGACAAGTTTAAGTTTCACTTTTAATCTGAGGTGAGTTATTGGGCCATTCGTCCACAGTGGACAGGAAGAACACCAAAACCTGTGCTTGGCAATCTTCCTAAATATTTGTAGTTGTAATGAGGGGAATACTCAGTCTCTCTTCCTCTTCACAGTTTGATCTTCAAGTCACATTCTCTGAGCAGTGAGAGTTCAACACATCTTATGTTCTCCTGCCTCCTTAGAAGCCTCTTCTAGTCTTCCGTCTAGGACTGTGCTGATGGAGATGTGTGTTCCCCAGAGATGAATTCCTTCTGCTTTAGCCTCTTGGCAGGACTTGTTGGATTGGCTGTCCTCTGCTCTGATGAGAACATCCATCCGCCTTCTCGGATTTGTCATATCCAGTTGTGGAAGGTCATCTTGAATTAATTAGATGATGTTTACGAAAGCATGGAAGAAATAAGGGCTTTAATATGACCTTTAGTTTCTTATTGCTGCATTCACCCTTTTTACAAAAATACTCTCAGCTATTATTTTGAAGTAGAAAAATGCTATGGAAATGAAGCTTGTTATTTATGTTGTTTGAAATCCTTAGTGGAGCTGAGGTTACCCACTTCAGATGCCGACGTAAAGGGTAACATTAAATCCTGCAGTATTCTACTAAACCCAGGATAATATCTGATTTTGAGACAGAAGGTTATCATACTGCAGAATCCTTATTAGGAAGGGCTTATGAGTATCTGCATAAGAGCTCTGAAAAACTGGCTGCAAAAGACCTGGTAGCATGGATGAATATACTTCACTGACCACAAAATGGGACAAAGCCCATCATACCTTATCTGTTTTTAAGGATCTCAATGAATTAGAATGAAAATCTTTGTGAGACACTGTATCCAAAATAACTTAACAGTTCAGAAAACGCCAACATAATAAATGATGCTTCTGAGGCATTCAGCCACAAGCTTTCATTATTGCTTTCTGAAATTTTAGAAATGTGAAAATACCTTAACCAAGTACCTGGTGTTTTGGGTGATTGGTTCAGGTGTGCTGAAATTACAGTAGGTGGAACTGTAGAGCAGGGACAGGCTGGTGGCCCTCTCATGTTGTGCATGCAGGAGAACAGGATGCTAACAGGAACATGGACACTTTAAAATTTTGTTTTTCAGTGATACCTGGAGAGAAGGGGTAGGTCCATACTCAGTAATAGCCCAACAGCTGCACGCTTGCCTGGAGTGTGGTGTGTGTTCAGGTTCTTCTGTTGTTGCATTTGGAGCAAGGATCTGAACAGGGGGCTCTGGTGTGCAAAGGAGATATCTTAACTGTCAAAGTCCTGATGTATTCAGAGTGCTTCATAGGGCATCTTTAAAGTAATAGTGTCAGGCTAAATGTGACAGACCTGAAATGAATATTTTATGGCATGCAGGAGAATTTTAACATTGAAATTAAATTGCTTTTTAAAGTTCATTGTTTTCATTTTCTATTTAAGCTTGATAAATATTGCAGACCTTTCTCTCTGCATTGTGTGCTGTACTGGAAGTGTCTTTTAGAGTAAAATAAGGGACTGTCACTTTTTTTTTTTTAACTGATTTTTATGTTTTGGAATGCAAAAATGAAACGAGAGGTTAACAGCATTACGTCTTTCTCTTTTCAGATTTCTTCATTTCGGCATTTTGAACAAAATTTGTATGAGTTCAATAGTTTTCCTACTTCTGAGACTCAGATAAGCATAAATGAAACTGTTCAGCTTGAGTAGATGAATTATTTAATATAATAATGAAATTTAAATTCCTTACTTGCCTTTTAAAGTTGAAATCTGTTGGTAGTTTTGGTGCATGAGGGACTGCTGTGTTGGAGAAGGGGATCTGACCACTCAACTATAAACTGCAATCCTCTCTGAGAGTTGAGATGTTATCTGTACAGCAGAGGAGAATACGCTTTTGATTGACCTCCAGTTCAAACATGAGCAATCAAACACAGCCCAGATCCCTGGGGTCTGAGTAGTGAAAGGTCATTTTCGAAAAAGAGAGTGGTGTCGCTGAGGGACTAATTGCCTGGTCTTGTGGGCAGAAGCAAGCACAGGTCTACCAGTGTTCTGGGCAGCTACATCTGTAGAGGTCAGATGTAACCAAAGATGTCGTTCCCAGGAGGCAGTGGCGTGGAGTTCACAGAGCTATTTGCTCATTTGTATTTTCATCAGTTACTTACCATAATGCACGCTTACTCCCAAAGCAGGTCAGTAAGAAAATGGGGAAAAGCCTGGGCTGCTGATGTGGTGAGTGTGAGGGTGTGAGACATGATGTAGGGACCCAGTGCAGGCCAGGCATGCGGGGAATGGCTTCTGCCTCTTGGAGGATGAGGGTGGAAGGGTGGGAGATGGAGAGCAAGGGATGAAATCTCCTTTTATTTTTTTTTTTTTTTTTTTGAGTAAAATGTGAGAATAATTGTCAAGAAATGGTGATGGGGTTAAAGGTCCTTTTAGACAGAAGTGTTTCAACCACTGGTAGCTGGAAACTCTTCAAAACTTTTATGCATTAGTGTCCAATGTGGTGTCCTTTCTGGGACTGGAAACATCCGAAAGGTTATGAGAATTAAAGAAGGAGGTAGGCAGGCATCGCTCCTACCCCTCTGATGGGTGGAAGTATTTGAATAGTTGTGCTTTTACTAAGTTTTTGCTAAATGACCTCAAAATATTGTGAATTTTTTGTTGTCCCCTTGCCACATCATTTTCCTTTTCCCCAATCCTCCTGTGCCCTGTCTCCTCTGAAAAAATTTCCTCTGAAAAAGAAATACAAACTTTCCAACTGCCTAACATTTTCTACATTGTTTTTGTTCTTAAAAGACAAGCCAAAGCTAAACCTGAGCTGTTTAAGCACTTCCTATAAGGTGAAAGGAGCTATTGTGCAATAAAACCTTCTAGTTCCTGTGCTCTTCTGGTTCACTGCTATTAAGCAGTGACATTTACCATGGTGGTAATATGTTAGATATTGCTATCTTCTGCTTGTTTCACATATATAAGAAGTTGCTTATTATGGTGAAATTAATTTTTATTCATTTACCTATACTTTATCTGTTAATTACTTTATAATTTAATGAAAGAATATGTGAAATAATTGAAATAAAGTAAATGAAACATCTCTAGGAATTCTCTCCCCCATTGCCTTTTTAGGTCCTTCTAGAATAGCTACAGAAAACTGGGGCAAAATTAATTGCAGCCATGTTTTCTGACCATCATTATAAAGAAACAGTTTAGGCAGTGCTGCATTTTCAGCCCTAAATGATTTTCTTG